ATACAGTAGAGTCTGCAAACTCGACCTAAATGTGAACTGAGAAGATGTCATGTTTTACGAAGAATGCATGGCGTATTCAAAACTCATAATATTTTGTTCAACTCCTAAATCTTTGGCAACATTATTAATGCTTATCTCTTTTTCCATTCCTTTAAGGCTCCAGTTAGATTTCTATTATCATGTTAACTTGATTTCTTTTCTTCTTCAACATTTGCACTTGCACCGGTAACATGATGCAAGACTTGTAAGCATTAAAAAATTCTTATCTCAGCAAATCAAAAGGCATCCACTTGTTTTAGGAAATTATAAGTTCTGTTGCCATTCCTTTCTTTTCATTGATTAGCTATTAAGTTGCATATATTTTACAGAAATTAAACTTTTGGGTAATTTTTTTTCTCCTATCAATAAAATTTACAGTTCCATATTTAAGGACCCCATTCCGTATATGAATTTCTGGGCTATTTACAGGATTCCTTGCCAGTGTGGTTCAATTTACATTTGTCAATCTAAAGGAGCCTTGAAATTTTATGTTAAAAAAACATGAATCATATGTTCAGAAAAAAGAAACAGAAATTCTGTGTTGTCCAACCCTTTTAGTCAGAAAATAGCATCTTATATTTTTGTGCAGTTATTCAAAAAACATCTTCTATTGGTGAATTAGATTTTCAGGCATTTCACATTAAAAGAAATCTTTCTGTTCTAGTTAACAATCCAAATTCCAATCCATCTTTACCCTTAGCCTTTAAAGAAATTATGTTTTAGTTTTCTTGTTTCATCAGTAGATGGTGCCAGTAGCCTGACTTCTTTCCAGCCATTTTTATCTTATCACCATCTTCTATTTCATTCATTTGCACTTAGGCAACTGAAAAGATGGTTCTGTATTTAAGCCATCAAAACTAGTTCTGCAAAATTTATAAACATTATGCTGATTCTTCTTGTTTAACTTCTACAATAATTATTCGGTATGTTCTTTTAACCTAAAACCACCACATTATTTCAGAGGTAATGTTCTGTTTGACCAACAGATTTTTTAAAAAAGAATGATTGTTGAGTTATGCAGAATCATATTTTTCGTACTCAAGTAATTGGGGGTCAAATTTGCAGTGTCCTGGGTGGACAAAGTGCTGTTTCTGATGGCACATTTCAAAAGTTGTTTGAAAATTTCAGCCTTGAAGGTGATGCCCATTGTGAACAATCATCCTCTTTAAACAGACACTTATTAAAAGAAGTTATCTCTGGGAATCGATGTTAATCAGTTCAGGAACTTTCAGACAGACTAAATATTCTGAGAAATGTGGTACATGGTCTCTTGACAAAGGTTGGATATGTAAGCACCTATGACGTGTGGATGTTCCATACTTTAACACAGCAGAAGCTTGCTTGAATTTGGGCGTATGACTCAGCTAAATGAAGTACTTTTTTAAATGATTCATTGCCGAACATGAGAAGTGGATATTATCCAAGAATGTTACAAGAAAAAAATTCATGGTAGTAAGCCAAATGAACCTCCTTTAGTAATAACAAAAAGAGAAACTGCATCCCAAAACGTAATGCTTTGTATATGGTAGGACTTGTATATTATGAATTGTTGCTCCCAAATTAGTCAATAAATTCTTAACATACTCTTCCCAAATGACAGCTTTCAAAACAGAAATAGAAGCAAAGTGCATTTAGAACTGATTGATTGTTGAGGTATTGTCTTCCATGCTTCGGCCCGCATTTCGATGAACATCAGACAAAGACTTACTGAGTGTGGCTAGGATATTTTGTTTCACCCCCCATATTTGCCAAGGCCTTGCCTTATCAGATTTTCACATCTTCAGGTCACTTCAAAATTCACTGAATGACCCGAAGTTCACTTCTCTGGAGATTGTCAAACAGCACCTCGATAACTTCTCTATAAATATATCTAATGACTTTTTTAGAAAGGGAATTTTAAGAGTTGTTGGTGAGATGGCAAGTAGTCCTAGAGCAAAATGTTGCTTATATGATTCAATGAGATTTTCTTATGTTTTTGAACTACTTCATTTGTATTCATCATAGGAAAACTGCAGAAATTTCTAGTTTACTCCCCTTTTTTGTAAATTTTTGTAAAGATCAGTGTATATTTAGCCATTAATACAACTGCTTCAGATAAAAATGATTCCAGTCTGTCAGTCTAATCATTGTCAAAATCTCTACAAAGATAAATTTCTAAAATTATAAATACATCTGAAGCGGATAAAGATTACTCTAGTTAAAAATCAGATAATGAACACCGCATCATCATTGCTGAGGAACAGTAAAATTTTTGGGCTGAAGAAATATAAAAGATGAGTTAAAAATGGAAAAAAAAAATAGTTTTATCAAAATTTAATATGAATATACAAAACAAGCAAATGCAGTAAGCAAAATAATTCTGCTAGGCTTCTGTTGTCATGAATAATCCTGCTGATCTGAATTTAAATTTTGTAACTGCTACCCGTCCACCAGGAGACTTATGGTCTTTTGCCTTATTTCTCAGTCTCCTGTAGTTCGTTGAATCATTTGATTTTTAATTTTTAGCCTTTGCTGAGGAAAATATTTGCAATCAATAATTGAAATTTACATAATTAATGAAATCTAAATTGGCCAAATTCCATTTTCCCAAACCCTCGGGATTGTCAACATAATTTTCTAATTAAATTTTATTTGATCTGAATTATCTGAATCCATTCTAAGCATTTGTAGAAAATTATATGAAGATTCAACCAGTGTTTAATCCATTAATATTGTATTTTGTTTTGTTTTGCATTCACATGTGGTCTATTCCTAAGTTTATCTGCATGATAGTTTGTACATGAATTATTAATTTTATTTTCATTGTGTTTAAAGGTACTTTGATAAATAGAAACTGCTTTAAAAAAAAAAAAAAAAAAAAAAAAAAAAAAAAACAGAATTTTTTTTTTAGTTTAAAAGTGTAAAAAAATTGCAAAAGAAAGTAAGCCAAAGAATGTATGATTTAGAATACCTCATTAAATATTAATATATTTTACATCTGAATTATGCATTATAAAATGAGTTTAATTCAATTTATAGTTCTTTTAAAATAGTACCTCAGTAGTTCAGATTTCAACTTGGCAGTTATGTAATCTAGATTAAATCCACAAATTCATGGCAGCTAGACAAGGATGTTTTTTACCTGTCATTGGCTTGGACAAGTCTTGGAGATATGTCAGTAATGGTATGAATTTGTCTGGGTCCCTTGGATGATGGCCGCAGTGCTCTCGTGCATTTGTTTCCTACTCCTAACTTTTCAAGATGTTTTTTTGGCTCAGTGGTATTTTAATTGCCTTATTCTGCAAAGATAGTCTGTATGTACAAACATCCATACCATCTTCAGGATTCAAACCTAAGCCCAGTGATATAGCAATCTGCACAATAACTACCATACTGAACAGGGCATCTTGTTAGATGTGTACTTGACCCAACATGGTCACCAGGGCTGTGGAGTTGGTAGGGAAAATGACCGACTCCGACTTCTGGAATTTTAAAGACTTGTGTATATATATATGAGGGAGTCACATTGACTGTGACTCCCTCATATATATATAAGTACTTGTATGTAAACATATACACATGGATTACAGCTTATTTTTTAAATGCAAAAAAAGTAATAGATGTTACAGAAGAAAAAAAAAAAAAATTCATGGCATAGCAAATTATTTATATTAATTAGCATTTATTATGAAATGGGAAAACTGGTATTAGTTATTTCTAAGAAACAGTATAGCTTCGGGGAGATCTTTGTTCTTGGAGGACCATAGATCCGATTTAATAAACTTCGGAGCTGAGAAGACTCTTTCCACACTAACTTGAGTAGGAAGAAGAGCTGTTACTGTTAGAGCTACTTCTTTTGACTTTCAAGATAGATTTTTATAAGTTCTAAAAGAAGTGTCTTGCAAGCGCAATTATATTTCTCTATTTCTTCAAAGGCCGTGTTGAAATCTTGTTTGTGTTTTTTTATTTTTATATCTAAAGGCTCTTGGTTTTTCATTTTCATTCGTTTTTTGCCTTAGCATTTTCAGCCTTATCCAAAAATATTTCTCAAAATCTAATTCATCACTGGAAGTGGATGATAGAGACTCAGTTGCAATGTCTGCAGTTTGACGACTGTCTTGTTTCAAATTCTCCATTTGTTCTGAGAATAATTTCCTTCTTAATGAAAGTTCATAAGTGGCTTTCTTTGCCTTTTTAATTCATTCATCCAAGAAAATTCGGTGTTTTGGATCTACATATATTGAACCCAGCAAGATCTAATTGTCTAACAAACTAGTTTCTCTTTTCTTCATTGAAGAAATGGTTCCTTCTGCAATAAACCCTCCATTTCAGAAAGAACAAACATCCCATTCTTCCATTCTCGCCTCCTGTCAATTCATCAGATTGCAGCTTTTTTGTGGGTATATGCGGTGTAGAAAGAAGAGTTTCCAATCTTGGAAGATCATTCCACGGTGTTTCTGTTAGTGAAACATTAGGATTATTTACATCTTCTAAAAAAGTTCTTAATTCTAAAAACCTCTTTATCATCAAATGTGTACTTCCTTATTGCGTTGCTTGATCAATAAATGCTCCTTTTCCTACTCGCTTCCTAAGAATGACATCAATTTTAGGAGGAGTTACCTAAATTTACCAGTGAGATTTGTAACTAAATAAAGTAACTAAATGAATCAGTTTAATCACTAATGGCAAATATCACATCCATCCTCCTCCCTTATATTTATTAATATGTCAATAAAATAGAAAATAACTATTTATTAATGTATATAGTTATTAATAAAAATAATAACTCAGCTTGTCATTAATGTTTTTCAATTCATTTTAATTTTATTTCAAATTCAAACTGTCCAACTAAAACTGGAGTTGGAGTCAACCTGTTTTTTAGCGACTTTAGCTCCGGTACAGTGTCTACAAAACATTCCAAATTAAGATATGCTTATATTTTTTAATATATATTTAAAGCATAATTTGCATTATATTTATAGGATTTGGGCATATGTCACTTGGTAGATGGCTTATGCCAGCAAGCAGCAAATAATGGAGAATGTCTTAAAACTCTTGTGTTAAGCAATAATAATTTAACTCAGAATGGAATGGCACATATAAATAGAGCTTTGGTAAGTGCATTATTAAAAATTTTTCCCCTCCCAACATTTTACTTAATTGCATTTATTGCTTTTTTTTTTTTTTTTTTTTTTTTTTTTTTTTTTTTTTTTGCATTAAGGGAAGGGGCTAAGCTTTTGAATATTTTTCATTTTGAAGCATTTTTGACGTGTTTATCTCATCTGGTGTAATGTTTTCTCAGTTGATTGTAAGACAGTAATAATATTTTGCAGTTTGATATAATAAAAAAATGTATTGTAAAAATTCATGCAGGTGATACATAATTATTGTAACTTGCCAGTGGTGTGAAATTCTCGGGCATTGAAGATGATGCCCAAGAATATGAAGAATGCCTTAATTGTCATTCATAAAGGTTTTAAAAAGCTCCTTGTTGATGCAGTTTTTCACTTTTGACAAGGCATCAAATCATTAAAATTCAGTATTAGAGAGTGTACTTGATGTATTTAACTGAAAGAACTGGATAAATTCATTACAGTGCTACAGTATTGCAATCAGAATCACAATTTTCAATTTTTTAAATGTCACATTCATTGCTTTATAAATTCATTCCTTAATTTACACATTTTTAGAAACTGTAAATTTTTCTTCAGTGCAAACTTTTGAAAGATTCACTTTTATTCTATTCCAATCACTTTTCCCAAAGTCATGTCTCCTTTTTTTTTTTTTTCCCCCCTAGCCAAAAATTCTGATTTCTTCCTCCTATTATTATTGTTAGTGCTTTAATAGCAACTGATATTACTGACTTCAACTCTTTAACTGTCTAACCAACAAAGCTATATATGGTCAATATTTTTACTAATGTCTGTAATTGAGTACCTATATGTATTTCTTGAAATATGACTAACAATATAAAATAAGTATATTATTCTTTAATTATTATTATACAATATTAAAAATAAGTAAACCTGAAGCTGTAAAGAAAAAATCCCAGGTATTGTGGTAATTACATTTTGGAATTATCATGAAGTAAATGTCTTCCGTGGTATTTTATTGAATTTCAAAATTTCATGGCCAAATCCTGGGCTTATTGGAGGGTTAAAAAGTTAGATTTAATTTCAGTGAAACAACAGTTGGGAAAAAATTTTTATACAAAGTCTGAGATCTGGGCATCCAATTTCTGGAATGGTCTAAAATTTGGACTTCAAAGCCACCAACAGTCTTTTTTTCTTTTTGGTATGCTTTACGCATGCACATCTAAAGTTCCCGCCCCCCATAATAAAATATGTGGAGTGTCCCGAATCTTAATTTTACTTTGAAACTAAATAAAATACCTCGTTAGTGAAGAAACAATCATTTTAGCATAAATTTTTGTGATCAGTAATTGTCTCCGGTACGTATCTGCTTGGCATACATCTCAAACCAAAACATTCTACTTAGAAATATTGCTGGTTTTACACCTACTAATATTTTGTATCCCTGATGCCAGCCTGGCAAATCATTATTTATTATATTTTGCTTTCATCACTGCATGTTTATTAACATATGACAACTTGAGTGATGACTCATGCAGCAGTGCCTAAACATTTTTTTTATATTAGTAATTGAATAACAAAGAGTATGGTTACCTTTTATGTTGATATTACGCTTAGTAATGATTACAGATAAGTTATATGCACTAAGAAATGTTGATGAAGAAAAATTTAACAAAAATACACAAATTGCATTTAACCTATCTAGCTTTTAAACTCTTTTTTTTTTTTTTTTTTTTTTTTTTTTTTTTTTTTTTTTTGCGTTCGTAATTTAGCCTCTGGTTTAAGGAAATATATGTGATATGAACCAAAAGAAGGTAGGAGAGTGTTCCATTTGATTGTTAATAAAACTTGAAAATAATTGTCATGTTACGGAGTGCTTTCATGGGCAAATTAAATAATGTTAAGTATACCAGTAAAACACTTGTTACTTACAGTATTGTGAGAGATTGATCAGTTGTGGTGCCTGTGAGAAAGACGAGTATATGAAGTATTTCAGTTCTTGCAAACAGTCTCTTATTTTTGTATAAACTTTATGTATCATGTAATGTAAATTGTGAGAATCTATGCAGATAGTCAAAATCCAAGAAATTGAGAAATATTTCTATATTTTTGTTAACTGTAAAGAATTCTGCAAGATTCAGAAATTTTTATTCATTCCATATTCACTGAGAAGTTAACCCACTACAAGTCATGTAAACTTTGTGGCATAGAAAAGGTAACGTCATATGAAATGCTGCCATTTTTGAAAATTACCCTTTAAAAAAAGAATACTGATACAACTTGTTACAACTAGTTATTGAATTTAAAGATTTATTCTTCTCTATACATTCGCAAAAGCAAACTTTTAAAGGAAGGGGGAAGAAAGAAAGAAAACTGCTGCGAAAGTGTGTAAACGAAGTGCAAAAAATTGTAAAGTTTGCATGTGGTTATCTAAACAGAAAACAGCGCAATGATATTTAAAACAAATGTTAATGTTTAAAATTTTAAGAGGGCATATTTGTCTTTTCTGGAATAAAAGCTTATAAATATTTGGAAACTGTAGTTACAGTGTGTTCTAAATTTCTGCATTTTTATGTACAGTTCCTGCAGCTTATTTTAGAACACTGTAAGCATGTTGCCTTCCTATACCGCTTACGGAGTAATTTTGTCATGCTATGTACTGTCCTGTGACCGAATAAAAAAGTTTTCATTTTTGAAGCACCAAAATCTTCATCTATTGGTGTTAAATCCCCCCCCCCAGTGTATCAAGGATGTGAGTAACTGTGAAGGGAAGTCTGTGAAGCAAGATGATTCCGTTGTCACTATTTTATAAATTCTTTTCAAGTTGGGATGTAAATATTTTCAGAATGCTTGATTTCTTTTATTACTTCATTTTTCTTGTAACACCTCATATATGATGTGATAATAACTTCCTTTTCTCCAAGCTTTTAAGTTCTTCCTTTTAAAAATGGCACTTTTATGATTATATTTTATTACCTTGTGCATGATGCAGGGTAAACTTTACAAATACATCCCCTGTAAAGACTTTTTCCCCACTTCTAAAATATTCACTTTTGTCATTGTTAAATTTTTTTCTGTGTTCAGATTCAATATACAGTACAAAGTCTGAGATCGGGACTCATCCAGACCTCGGCGATTCCGGATATTAGATCATCGGCTTAAAACTTGTAAGAATGGCATGTAGAAATTATAAAATTAAAAAATGAAATCGTGATTTATGTAATAATGAAGCATTTATGATTTAAAGGATAACCAAAAAAAAAAAAAAGCTTAATATTTATTTGTTTACTAACATTTCATTCAATGTAAGTTGTTTAAGTTGCTTTTTTTGTGCTAATATTTTTTCTTTAATTCTGTAGACGGACATAATTTCTTATTCAGTTACAAATTTTCATTGTTCAAGTCCTGTAATTGCTGTGTCGAGAATTCTGACTAAGTTGTCAATTAATTTTTTTTTTTTTTTTTTCTATAACCTCTCTGTCAGTTTCTTCACTATTGGTAGGCGGTAATTTTTGGATAAGGAACTATACCGCAGATTTCACTGTCTGTTAATTGATTGATAATTGGGTATTGTCATTGCAATGAAAAACTTCTGTTATACCATCTTCATTTATCCCCATTCCCACATTTGTTTAAAAAATCCATTAATTTGAAAATTTAACTTTTGGTTTGCGATATCTGAAAACCTTCAGCTATCATATTCACCAACCTCACCATGAAATATGCTAGGCTGGTCGTAAATTATGTTAAGCAGTTTTCTAAAGTATCTGGAGACACATCCTTCCACGATCTTGCGATGCTCCACAAAGCAGATTTTATGGTAAAATATTTCAAAAATTCTTGAATAGTCTTGCCATTATTCAAGAAATTTAACATGGATTTTAAAAATTCTACTTCATATTTGCATTTTAGTACATGCACTCTTCCGATATCCATAGGCTGAATGATTGATGTACAATTTGGAGGAAAGACTAATACGGCGGATACATTATTTTTCACTAAAAACTTTCAAGTGGAGTATGAGCCGAACAGTTGTCTACAACCAGGACAATTTTTGCATTATCTATAAACTTTAGTTGACTTTCTAATGCCATACTCCTCGCATAATTTTCAGGCAAATGTACCTTTATCCCTTTTTCAGCAATTCCACTTTTTGTTTAATGGACATTGAAACATGCTTTCACTTGGTTGATCCTGTTGCAGCTCCAGAATTAGAAACTCTTTTCGACATGACTGAAAGTTGAAACTTTAATTTTCATCAAATTGCTGTACTAAACAGCCTTAAAAAAATAAATAACCTGGATCAAATCAGAAAGTTACGGAATAGCGCAATCTACTATATTGGCTGAAATTCCTTGGAATCAGTATAAGTGTAATTTTAGCCTATCTTAATAGGGTCTGTTATACATTATTTGCTATATATCATGGGATTGGCGACGAAGACAAGTTGTTCCGCTAAATTTTGTCTTGCTTCTATCGCGAACTGAGACAATTAAGCATGATTAAGTTATTTATTATACTTACGTCTGTTTCTTGTGCATGCTTAAGGCTTATCTGAATTCTGAATAAATAAATTCCCACATATACTTGAGGCTTTATCAAAGGCCGACTTTAGATATCTTACCGCCTGATACAGTCTCTTTGAGTCTTAAATTTTGCTACTAAGCACCTCTCTAATTTCTAAATTTTGAATTCCAATGCTTTCCCAAAATTCTAAATAATAAATAAATTATTTTTATCCTTTAATTTTGTTGCTTGGTTCTTCTCTAAATTCCAAAAATTATGTCTTCCCTAAATTTTGCCGCCGGTTCTGGGTTTATGTGAAAAACAAATCAGTTATTCTTCATTCAAATAGCACTAAATGGAATCTTTTGGCCTAAGTATCATTAACAAAATCTATTTTTACCATATGGAAAGAAAATTTTTAAAAATTTTTCTTCATCAATATAAGTTCAGCAATTTAAGTTAAATGCGCTAAAAAGCATATTTAACTAAAATCTATAATCATTGCCAAGCATAATAATATCAACATACAAGGTTACTATACTCTTTGTGCTAACGTAAAAAATTACTAGTGTTAAAAAAAAATGTTTGGGCAGCGCTGCATGAGTCATTACTCAAGTTGACAAGTGTTGATAAACGTGGTGATGAAAGCAAAATATAATAAATAATGATTCGTCAGGTTGACATAAGGGATATAAAATATTAGTAGGTGTAAAATCAATGATATTTCTATCTAGAATGTTTCGGATTGAGATGCATACCAAGCAGATATGCAGCTATGGAGCCAAATTATTGATGACACAAATTTATGCTAAATTATTGTTTCTTCATTAATGAGGTGTTTATGTAGTGCCAAAGGGAAATTAACAATCAAGGTTCTCAACATATTTTATCTACCGGGGGGGGAGATCAAATGCGCATGCGTAAAGCATTTTTTTTTTTTTTTTAAATTGCCGGTTTTGAGGTCTGGATATTGGACGTCCCAGATCTCGGACTTTGTACTGTATTTTCTGAAACATTATATGCATATTTTAAATCACTTTTACTGAAATGTCCCAAAATAATGTTTTCAAAACCTTTATTGTCAATATGTAAATCATGTTGATGACCTCGTCATGCAGTAAACTAACATTTACTGTTTGATACACTGCATTGAACTAAAAATTGTTTCTTTATCAAATTATAAATATGTGTTCTGCAAATAAATGCAGGAACAGCGAATCTATTAAGTTTAGGATAGGTGGGCTGATAATCGTGAGGATGAATTCACTTTGAAATTGCCAAAAGATTTATAAACCCCACCTGACCAATTAAAGGTAAACAGAGGGGCATATTTTGCTGGAATTTTATTTATATCACTGCAAATATGTTAAAGAATGGCTTTATATTGAATTTGAAGAAAGTATAAGCAAACAGTAGTTATAATATAAATTGAAACTTGTCTTGTTTTTTTCTGTTATTATGATGAAAAATATATTTCAGTTGGTGTCTGAATCCCTCATGAAACTTGACATCAGCCACAATAATATCTGTGATGAAGGAATACAGCATTTGAAGCAGGGATTGCTGACTAATCAGTCCTTGCAAACTTTGGTACTAGTGAATACAAAGCTTACATGTGAAGGTAAAAACTTTTGAGTGTATGTGTATGTGTGCATGTGTATATGTAATAGTTAAAATTTAATAGTTTGTGACATAGAATGTCATGTCTGATGATTGTATATTTTAAGCTATCATGTGTATTCACAGAGCTTTATACTTTTTTTTTCATAATTTCTTTGAATTAAATACAACAAAACAATGCACAAGTTCAGAGACAGGTGCTTTAACTGTTCCACAATAAGAAGTTTGCAGTGCACTTAATTATAATTGTGACAGAAAAAAGAGGCTGTGTACAACATACAGGGTTATTCAAAAAGAAAGAGCAGATTTCAAACATTTATTTCTTCCATACTACAAAAGATAGAAACATGATTCTAACATTAATGGATAGAGAAAAGTTTACAATTATGGTATGTATTCAATATGAGCACCGTGTGTTACACGACAAATGTCGAAACGGTGGCTCATTTCATGCCACACACGAATCAGCTGGTCTTTGGTTATCGAATTCACTGCTTCAATAATTCGATGTCGTAGATTTTCAAGAGTGTCAGGCATAGGAGGGATAAAAACACACTCTTTTACGTAACCCCAGAGAAAAAAATCGCAAGGAGTGATATCGGGAGACCAATCTGCTCTTTCTTTTTGAATAACTCTGTATTACTAGAACATTAGATTTAGAATGGTAAAATTGAGTAATTTCTTAATAGGTGGAGCTTAGTATGTCTTCATTTCTCTTATTTTAGTTAAAATTTCAGTTTAATTCTAATTGGATAAAAGATTTTACTTTTGCTTCTGTGCAAGTAAATGCATCATTAGCATTACGTAAGAATAATGTGACATGAATTCATTTTGAAATGATGCACATCAGAAATATTTATTGTGTCTTTTTAGAACAGAAAAGGAAAATAGCCGAATTAAAATGGCCTTGTGACGTTGTGGATGCTTCAGTTGTAACGGAAATAACACTGGTATTGGTGATGCATCACTTTTTATTCACAGCACATACCACAGATACAACATTTAATTAATACATTTAGAAAACTTTAGTAGATATCCGAGCTGGTGACACGATCAGAGACGTTAACGAAGATGGCACTCATCATTACTGGACGAATTAAGTCTCCACACCTCAGCTCGCTGGTGGAGATTCTCAAACTCTTTCCGACAGGCGTTTCACAGAAGTCTCATCTCTTTACACATGCGCATTACTCAGTTAGGTCGTTGCCATTCGCAGTTCTTTAAAATAAGTATTAAAAATGAATTATAGTCCTCGTCGTGTGAGGAGTCTGCTAACGAAGTTCTCTCTAGTCGAGAGCATCATAGGTCTTTCTAGTAGAGAGTTCAGGAGCGTTCTTTACAGTCTAACTCCTTCCCCCTCCAGATTTTGTTTTCCTCGGACACAGAGGAAACAAAATTTTATTTTAAGTTCCTACAGGATAAAATTACAATTTCAGGCAGGCGTTCGCTACAAACAAACACCTTTCCACCCTCCAGTTTTTGTTTCCTTTCTCCGGACACAGGAGAAGTAAAACTTTTTTTTTTCTTTTTTACAGTTCACAGTTTCTGGTTTCAATAGAGATTGCTTCAACATTTTACCAGTTAATTTTAAACCACACTGTTACAAAGGTTCTCCACTCTCATAACCAGGCCATCATAAAACATATAATAAAAATACATATACAATATATGAAAAAAACCAACACAAAAATTTTTGTCTTTAAGAATAAAGCTAACAATTTACTATATAGTATGAATTTTTAAAAAAAAAAAATACAATATATATAATCAAATAACAAGACAATTTAAAAGAAATGATAACTAGTCTATTTAACTGGCATGTACAGAGTTTCTACTTAAGCAGTCTACATTTAAGTAAGTTGTCACTTCCCTTTTTTATGATGTATCGTAAAATTATAAGATTGCAAGGCTAAGGCCCAGCGTAATAATCGACCATTTCTACCTGCATTATTTTTTAAGCCATACATGGGGATTATGGTCCGTTTGAATGAAAAATTTAATCTGCCCATCTATATACCCTTTCAGTTTTTTTATTCCATACAGAATTGCGGCACACTCTTTTTCAATGGTGGAATACTTCCGCTCACTATCTGTAAATTTTTTACTGAGATACAATATGGGATGTTCTTTCCCTTTATTATCCTTCTGGGCTAAAACAACACCATATCCTTGATCTGATGCATCTGTCTGTAGTATAAATGGTTTAGAAAAATCGGGTGCATGTAGCACTGGCGTACTAGATAGCTTTTCTTTTGACGATTTGAATGATTCATTACATTCATCATTCCAAACAATTTTACCCCTTTTCTTATTCTCTTTTAACAAATCTGTCAAAGGTGCGGCTATAGCAGAAAACATAGGTATATATTGTCTGTAGTATCCAGCCAACCCTAAGAAAGCTCTAATCTCAGTTTTAGTTGTGGGAACAGGAAAATTTTGAACCGCTTCTATTTTTAGTTCTGCTGGAGAACGATTTCCTCGACCTACTATGTGACCGAGATATTGCACTTCTTCTTGTGCAAACTTGCACTTAGCGGGTTTAATAGTTAAATTGGCTGTTCTTATTCTTTCTAAAATTTCATGTAAATGTTGTAAATGTTCCTCCCACGTTTCAGAAAAAAAATATCATCTAAATAAGGGGTAGCATATTTCTCACATCCGCACAATATTTCGCTCATCATTTTACTGAAATAAGCATTTTTAGCTTCATGCAGGCCTATATGCCAAAATTTAAATGCAATTTTTCAATTTCCATCCTTTGTTTTACTTCCGCTTTTTACTAGTTCTAATAAAGGGGCAAGTTCTTTACTTTTTTGTTGTTCATCAATAAAAGTACTTGAGTCTATTTGAATCGCAGGACTTGTGGGGACACAAAGGTCGACAGGAGGCAATATCTCTCTGTTTTCAGACCTCTCATGAGCATCGTCCTCCTCTTCCAATTCTAACTCATTCTGCTCAGAATTTTGATTCGTCTCACTTAAATTTTCCGCTTCCTTTAATTGTCGTGCTTGAGATCGAGTAACGACCGCATTAACATTACCGACATACGACGAATAATTTTTCTCAGTTCCTCTGAGAAGAGCCGCTGTCTGGTTGCCTAATATATATCGTCCTTGGTCTAAGTGGTCTCCTATAACAGCTGCTTTGGTGGTTACTGTACCCAAATCGCATTCAATATCTACTTCAGCAACAGGTAAACAAGTCATATGATCATCCAACAAATGTCGAACCCACACATGTTCCCCCTTCATTCTATCTCTGTCTACATATTTCTGACAAATAATATCTACTACCGTTGCTCCTGTATCTCTATCTCTTAGAATAGGTACTTCAAAACCATTTACTCTTCCATTTAATGTATAGGGATCTAACAGATTCTTCTCTGATCTCCCGCTTATCCGATACAAATCTGCCTTTTTGAGTTTTAAAAATTAGGGCACTGAGGACGTAAATGGTCAAAAGATCCACATTCATAGCACTGGAGTCTTTTTCTCCTATCAAAATTCGAGTCCGACTTTTTCCCAACATTGCGTGCATCATCATCTTTTTTAAATTGTGTGCCTTGAGGGTTTTTTCTATTTTTGAAAACGTTACCAGTGGACTGAAAAACACCCATTTGTCTACCTGATATTTTCGTTTTCATTTCACCCAATTTCGTTTTCCCAACCATCGTCTTTTTCGCATCTTCAAATTCCTCTATTTTACCCACCAACTGTTTTGGTGAAGTGATCGTGGCCCATTCATCTATAAAATGTTCCTTAAACTCATTAGGCGTGCGCCTTTTAATCTGATCTACCAACATTAAATCCTTGAGTTGCTCAAATGTTTCGATTTTTAATCCCTTAAGCCACCCATCTAAAAATGTCTTAATTTCGTGATAAAAATCGTACCACGTAGAATCCGGATTTTTTTGAGTCTTAACAAGAAGTTGCCGAAACTTCTCCGCACTTAACTTAAATCTTTTAAGTAGTAATTCTTTAATATGTTGGTAATCTCTAGCCTGTTCTTCAGGTTCCCTAGCAATTATATTATTTACCTCAACCGGAAGGACACCAATGAGATATGACACCCATTGATCCGTGGGCAATTTTAGAACTTTAGCTTGCCTCTCAAAAAGTTCTAAGAATAAACTGATATCATCAGTTTTTAAATTAAACTTGGGCATAAGTTTCTGAAAATTCTGATTAAATACCGTTTCACCTCCAGGTTTAGCAGATTCAGTGTTCTGTTTTGCTTTAAGGCATTCTAGTTCTAACTGTTGCTTTTCAATTTCTTTATTTTGTTGTAGTATCTGAAATTCCCTCTCCCTAGCTTCCTGTTCTAACTGTAATTCTTTCGCTCTTGTTTGCTTCTCTAAGTTTTCCTTTTCTATCCTATCAGTCATAATACTTTCTAACAAATTTTTAACAAATTCTTCCTCATATAATTTTTACTATTCGTTATTAATTGTTTTAAATCTATCACTTTCATATCTTCTAAAGCTATTTCCCCAAGTTCTGAAGCGACAAGGAATAGATCCCTTTTCTTAGCTTTCCCCAAAAATGCCATTTTCACAAAAGTAATTGTTCAAAACAAATAAGAACTCAAATAGTTATTCACAAATAATACACATAAAAATATATCAGAGATATAAAAAACACTAACTTTTTCTTCTTTCTTACAAAATTAGGCAAATAAAAATAAAAGGTTAATAAAAGCATTAATCATTTGGATTTATTTCCATTCAAACATAAAACGAATAAACAACCTTACTGAATACTTCGTATAAAAAAATAATAACAAATTCTTTTCATTTAGTACAGCCAGACAGAAAAAAAACCAGAGTGGCGCCAATAAATATAAACACCTTTAATTAACTATCGTTTTCATGACAGCTACTTTCCGTTGGCAACCACATGGCCAACGCAAATACTACGTAAATTCGATAGGCGCAGGTTTAAATCAGAACACTATTAGAACATTTTCTTTACTGCTCAAAGCTTTAATTTTTAATACAATGAAATGATAAAAATTTAACATTCTACTTATCAGAAAATACACATCATATTAAAATACAGCACTGGTGTGCTTTCATGAGAAAACCAAAGTAACAAGTTTTTAATATATTCAACAACTTATTTCTTTCACAAGAATTTAACATAAATTTTCTTCTAATGACTTAGAAATGAAAATTGCAATATTGCACTGATGTGCTTTCACATATACACAAAATAAACAGTTCAGATTCTATCACACCAATTTATAACGAAACGTTAAACATAAATACACTGATGTGCTGTTTATTTACGGGAATGGATTTTTCCCATTATCATACAAAAGAAAAATATCTCGTTAGATATATAAATGCAACACTTTGATTGTTTTAAAAACTCTTATGCACTGACGTGCTATAAAATGCACTGATGTGCTACGTGTTAATGGGAAAATGTTTTCCCGAATATACCACAAAAGGAAAATATCTTGTTAGATATACTATAAACCAAACACATTGAGTGTTTTAAAACTCTTATGCACTGATGTGCTACTTCTGCTTTGGGAATTGATTTCCCGAATAAGTAATAAATAACTACATTATACACTTCAGGCCTGGAAATGAATATTGTGGAGAACACATACCTGGTCTCTTGTCACACAAATCTCGGTGGAACCTCCAATTTTTTATTTTCTTGTGACGTCGTGGATGCTTCAGTGGGAACGGAATTAATACACACTGATATTGGTGATGCATCACTTTTAATATACACAGATACAACATTAATACATTACGATATTGGAGTATCCTCCACATCAGAGACGTCCGAAGATGGACTCATCACGACAACTCTCTCTCGCTCGCTGGCCCAGCTTCTCTCAACGTCTCACAGAAGTCTCATCTCTTTACGCATGCGTATTCTCAGTTAAGTCGTTGCCATTCACAGTTCTTTAAATAAGGTGTTAAAATGAATTATAGTACTCGTAGTGTGAGGAGTTTGCTAACGACGTTCTCTCTAGTCAAGAGCATCATAGGTCTTTCTAGTAGAGAGTTCAGGAGCGTTCTTTACAACCTTTAAACTTTATACGTCAAAGTCTTTATCCGACTTTGGGCTCGGCGTTCTGATATCATTTTCCGATTATAGATCATCATTTAATCTGCAAATGCATCAGAAATTATAATTAAAATTGAAACGTATTTAAAATAATGAGCAATTATGACAATGTTCAAATTACAAAAAAGAGCTTAATATTTATTTTTTTTACTTATTAAACATTTCTTTCAACGCGCGATTGCGTAAAGCATACCTTACGCATAGCCGAAATTAGAAAATTGCAACCAGAAACTATTTGATTTGTATTCGTATATTTTATAATGACGAGGAATTTGATTTAAATCATATCAAAGACAGAGTAAATGAGATTAAATACATTAGTAAGGATCTAAGCCGAATAAAATAAAAACATCTGCCCTGAAGATAAACGATAGTGCTGACAGAACAACTTCCAGTTCATTCTGCCGCGACGTCCCCCCCCCACCCAGAGCAGCTGTTGATACCCATTTGAAACGGTTAGATAACAAAGGATATGCCTTTATTCATTTTTTGTAGCAATTCGCTTTTTGTTTTGATGGAAATCGAACAACTTTCGTTTTCTAGATCCTTTGGGAGCTCCAGCATCGAAATTCTATTTGACATAATCGAAAGTTCAAGCTTACTTTTATAAAATTGCTCTTACAGTCTGCAAAAAATAATAAGCTGGATCCAATTCGAAGATTAAGGAACAACGCAATCATCAACATTAACTGAAATAGATAATTAGATAATTTTAGCTTATACCGTCCATTATAAATTAAGCGCGCACGCGAAAGCGTATTCTGCGCTTGCGCAGACGTATATGTGCAGTCGTAAATGTCTTGCGCGCACGCGTAAAACGCCTGTGCGCATGCGTCAACGCGGCACATGCGCAGAAAGATTTTAGCTTTGAGGTCCGAATTAACGACTTTTGACTGTAATCATTCTAAACCAAGTATAGGAATTCTCTTTAAAAAAAAAGTTTGAAAAGAAATACTTGTGTAAAATTTTTAACAAGTATTTTTTTCATAAAAATTGCAAAAATTTTTAACATAAAATTTTTTTCTTTGTCTTCAGGACATCAAATAATAAATTCAGATTCTTTCATTTGTAGCCTCTAATACTGAAAATTTAGCATCTTTGGATTTAATATTATTTCTTTACATTTATCGAAAGAGCTGTGATAATTGGCTTTTCCATCGCTTCTTTTAGAGCATTGCCTTGATTAATAGTTTATTCATCTTGAATATATTCGTTGTCAGAATCTGCTTCCATAACAACATTGGAACTGTCACAGTTCGTTGTGTTTTGCATAGTAAGGGTAGCAGGCAGGTCTAGACTTGTTTGGTTTGGTGTACGTGCACAACATAGCTAATGTCGTTGGACAATGTATAAGTTAGCACATAGAATAATATTTTGAATGTCAAAGCATTTTTTTGTTATAGAGAGATTAGTTATATTGTAGTGTGATTGTACTTTTGATTTTAAGGTAATAGTTTAATAAAATAATTTATTTTTTATATATGTGAACTGTTTGGTGTCTAGGACCCCTTTCTTAAAATTAAAAGACGGTTTTTGAACTTATTCGAAAGAAATGTCATTTTAAAAATCAACAAACCATAGTTTGTTAACTAGTATGATGCAAGTAGCAAGTATCACTTGCATTAGGGAAGGAATGCTCTTGTAGGGCCTCTATGAAATTTCATAAAAGTATTTAGAAAAATGATGATTGCTTAATTTTTCATATAAATTTCTTTGGTTGTTTCATGCACAATAAATTATAAAAAAAAAAAAATACTGTATTCCATTAGGTGCAGTAGCTTTAGCAGAATTTATTGCAGACAATCAGCACATCGCCTGCCTGGACATAAAGGAAAATGATATACGACTAGCAGGATTAATGGCTCTTGCATTGTCAATGAAACATAATCTGAGCATGGTAAATTTAAGTGTGGACCAAACAATCAAGACTGATTCGGTAAATTTTTGTTATTTTATGTCAGTCTTTTTTTTTTTTATTATAATTACTCTAGTTTTTTAATGCAAAGCAATCATACATAAAGGGAATAGTAAACATAATATTATTTTAGCTTCTGTAACATTTTAAAAATTCATAACAGGTAACCTGTGAACAGTACAAAGTCCGAAATCGGACTCATTGGGACTTCAGCGATTTCGGATTTTTCCGGATATTAGATCAATATGCAATCTAATCAAATCTGCAAAATGTGTAATCTAATCTTCTCATTTAATCTCAAAATAAAACATTCTTTTATCAATTTGAGTACTACATTGCTTATGAACATACGTTATTTTTCAATAATTGCAGAAACCATTCCATAGTGGTAAAATAGAAAATGTCTTCTATTATTTTCATAAACTGTTGATGGGAATTTGATTTCTCTGGACTCATGTTTTTCAGTATTAGTCTAAAGTTGGTATGCCAGCATTTGTGTTAATAAACGGAGTTCTAATGTAATATTCATAGTAATGATAATTTAAAATCTGAATTACTGTGTCACAAGAACATGAGGAGTATAATTGAGCATGCCATTAGTAGAAAAAAGGCTGGAAATCAGCTTTGCTTATATTACAGCTAAATTGTATGAGATGTGATCAAAAAGTATTGGACTGATGCCATATGCTTGGAATAAAAATCAATCAAATAAAGCTGTATGTCACACGCAGACCTTGGATCAAGTCATACATGTTCTTGTGTTATAAACTCCTAGCTCACTTCACTTGTTTATAGAAGTGATTTGAATGAATGTATTAAGTATTCAGAGAACATCCACTATGCATAGAAAGCTCAGCAGTCAAGCTCACTTCACTTGTTTATAGAAGTGATTTGAATGAATGTATTAAGTATTCAGAGAACATCCACTATGCATAGAAAGCTCAGCAGTCAAGCTCACTTCACTTGTTTATAGAAGTGATTTGAATGAATGTTTTAGAGAACATCCACTATGCATAGAAAGCTCAGCAGTCAACTGCCACCAAATTTTGGCAAAAGCTTGGTGATATTTCTTCTGTGGAGACATTTACAAAATTCCAAAAAGTATAGGCATATGTGAGTCACATATGAGAATTTTGAGTAATTCTGGTGTTTCAGAGATGGCCAAGAAAATGTCAGACATCCTGGAAAAAAATTGTAGCCTGCAAGACTGAAAACACCAAAGATTTCCCTTCAGCTGTACAGATGTACATAAAAATCATTCAATTACTCTTTGAAAGATATCTGAAAAATTCTAAGTAAAGGTTCAGTTTAATTCAGTTCATTCTTGCTAAAAATCTGGGTATGAGACTGCCTACAAAATTTGTGCCAAAAATAATTTTTCAGGAGATTAAAAGGAAAACCAAGTATCAATGTAAAATCATCTTGGTTGCTCCAAAAATGATGAAAACTTCTTGAAAATGACCATAACACAAAACGAATTATGAGTCTGTGTCCATAACTCTGGAATCAAGACTCATTCTTTGAAGTGGAAGGCTCCTACATTTCTAAGACCCAAGAAAATCTGAATCATTTAAAGCAATGTGAAGACACATCTGATTTATATATATATATTGCACTGGCATTATCATCTTGGATGTGGTATGTTGGAGCATTCGAGGAATGATTTTTTTTATCAGAAATGCCCAGAACTGCATGTGGTGAGTAAGTGGCAACTTCATCATTACAATGCACCTATCAAGTTCAAACCATTTAGGGATTTTGGTCCAAGCGTAAAATTTGCCAGGTTAAACAGCCACCATATTCTTAAGATTTTGCCCCCCCCTGCACTTTTTCTTCTCTCCTGAAATCCAGTTTTACTTGAAAAGAACGGAAATTCAAGAGAATACAACCAGATAGCTGTATGCTGTCCCAAGAAAAAGTTTCAGGCATACTTGACTGCTTTGAAGAAGAGTAGTTATCAGATTAGTAAGCAGAGAGGTCTCCTTTCCTAATATCTCCAGTTCCTGTACTTTTGTGTCTTAATATTTATTAGGAGAATCCAGTGTTTACTAGGATTGTCTTGAAATTTCTAGATGTATTAAAGTGAATCATGTTGTGAAGATACTGTGTTAAACAAAGTTTGAAATTCTTAGCTATATTAAAATCATATTGTTTGGATACTGCAGTATATATGAAAAATACCTCTAACCATGTTTTAGTTTTTTACTTCCTTGTACGAAGTAAAAAGGAAGTTTTGTAATCGCAAAAAGTTTCAGGCTGCATATTTCAACGAAAATATCCATTTTGACCGCTTTCGAATGCAATTTAACGATGTTTTTGCGTGATATCTGTACGTAAGGACAGAATAAAAAGACTTTTCCTCCCAAAAAATTATAAAACTGCTTTAAAATGAATTGTGAAGAGAATTTTTCATGGCATCTGTACGAACGTGTATACGTACGTACGTATCTCGCATACTCAAAAACAAGTAGCCTCAGAATGTTGAAATTTTGTATATAGGTCTACTATAATATGTAGATGTGCACCTTTTATTTTGGTTGCAATCGGCCGCACCAAACATATATAAATATATTTATATATATATACACTCTGTTACCCGGTTGAGTGATCGCAGTTTCTTTACTCTTACATGTTTGTAAATTGTACATTTTTTGCTTTAAAAAGATTGAATTATGTTGTTCTTATCTTCCGTTAAGGTTTTTATACCTTTAGTAAATCTGTATGCAATATTTTTAGAATTATCAACAATTTTAAAGTTGTTTAAGTGCCGCTAAGCCTTTTTTTTTAATGTTGGCCATTGATTGTTTACATTTGAAAAAGCAGACTAGTGGATTTGTTGCCGGTCTAGAGAAACTTAGCTTCGCAACAACAAAGATAAAGCCTTCGTTTATTATTGCCAATTAAATCATGCTTAATCCTTTCTGGAATTTTTTCAAGGAAATAAGTGTTTAAGATTTACTTCGTAATTTTTTAATACAGATATTTGGAGTTTTAATGTATTTTTGCCATGTCGCGAAGTGAAAACTGAATTAATTGAATGAGAAATACTCAATCGTCTGTGAAAAGCTGTTTCTTTTTTGTTTTGTTTACTTAATTTTTTCTATACATCACTCTAGCTGTATTGTAGTATTTGAATAAAGTATGTGGCAACAATTAAATAATTCTTTAAATGATATAAATTTTGTGCATTCTGAGTTATAATATGAACAAAATATAATACTGTTAAGTGAATCTAGTGCCAGAGTGTCGCTATGGTAAACAAATAGAGTGAATTTTAAAGAATGCATTTATTCTATTGTGGTTTATGTGCTGTCAGCGAAGTAGATTTAATTCAATTCAATAAGTTTAAACGAAATGCAAGTAAAAATGTGTTTAATTTAATATTCCGTTCAAGGAAGTCATGTGGTGTACATATCAGATTTTTTATCTTCATAAAAGAAATTGCTAAATAAATTTTAATTCATAATTTTTGTGTTTTAGGATTCTGATGGGATGAGTAACCAACAAAGTCTATTGCAAGATATTAAAGATTACTGCCAAAGAAACAGAAATAAACTAGAAAGTACTAAATTGCATGATAAAAATGTAAACTTTGTTGTCCAGAATGCTAATATTCCTGTTGTTCATAATGAAACTGAGCTCACTTCGTTGATCAGGGAAAAGACTTCTCAGCGTACTCATGTGGCCAATAATGTAAATGCTTCTACCATGGGAATGGTTAGCAGTGCTTCATTTCCAACAGATTCAAAGTCAACTGCAACATCTTCATCAGGTTTGCCAAGGAATCGATTCCAGGTGTGTAGAGTTTTTCTGGATAATGATAAACATTTCCCGGATGCATCAGAATTGAGCAATAGCAGTGATCAGACATCCAGAAATGATGATTCATTCATCCATTCGGAAGAATCTGTTTTTCTTCCATCATCTCCTAATGAGAGTGGTTATGACAGCACTTCATCTTCTCCTCTCTCCGACAGGCTTAAACATCGCGAAGAAGACAAAGTCCGTTACATTCGTCATCAGGATTCCCTTGCAATTCACAAGCAGCATGTTAGCAACAAGCACGAGGAAGATGAAGATGAGGTCAATGTTGATAACCACAACAGTGATATTCTCAACAATGGAGATTCTGTAGAGGAAAGTAGTCCAAATGATGTCTCATCTGAAAATCAATCAAATACTCGTAGATCAAGTACTGGGAAAGTCAAGAAATTAACGTTTGTCTTACCTGATGATTTCTGTGAAGATAGCAATGGAAGGAGGAAAGACAGGAGAATGAGTACTCCAACCTTGGCTTCACAGAGGCTTATTCAGCAGAAATCAAATGCTCTAAACCTAAAACTTGGAAGACAGCTAGAAGGTTTAGATCTTAAAAGCTCAGTTCCCCTTTCTCCCACAAGACTACGGGAAGGCTTAAGTAAGACTTTATTTTATTTTAGGATTATGTATTGGGTGATCAAAAGATTTCTATTCAATAATATTTTCATTAGATGTATAAATACATGCCATATCTAAGCTTAGCCAATGTGAAGGTCATGATTAAGTCATACAATTAGTAAAATTTTAATTATTAGTAAAATTTTTGCAACTTATATATTGGCGGCATCATTGTTACCCCAAATGCATAAACCAGAGTGTTATACTCTTAATATGCATTAAAATTTGGCCGTCTTTTTTTTTTAAACCTTTAAACCAATTTTTTAATGTTTTAGCATCTTTTTATTGCAATGCCATTGAGAATTGTGATAAGAAAGTAATCTTAATAATGTCAGTTAAAGACTTGCTGTGTAGTAGTGCCATTTCTCTTGTTATAAGAATCATGGGTCAGAGTAGTTGCCCTTAAATGGAAGACCATAAGAGGCCATAGTTCAGGTCTCTCGTTTATTATATGAAATTTTCATATCTGGTCATCTGTTCATGCACTGAAGGGCCTTGATTCCTGTTGGATGATTATGTGATTAAATCTGTATCAGCTATTTTCATATGGTTAATGGACATTAGTCAGAAGATATCTCTGATCTTGACAACAGCTTGGATCTCTTACTGTGAAGTATTTTCATTTTTGCTTGCCTGGATATACTCTAAGCTTTCAGTTGATGGCAATGTAATGAAGGCTGTTCTGGACTTTATTATGTGTCTGTTGATATTTGTTGGAAATGTGTCTTTGATCCTCAAATCTCTGACTGTGAGATATTTCCTCTTAGTCATCTGCAAATTTTTTAAGGGCATTTGTTCATGTTGGTTGGTGATGTGATGAGAACTATTGTTGAATTTTATTGTCTAATAAATGGATATTTGCAAGAAGATGTTTTAGGCTTGTTTCATCAATGGGGTAACTGTATTTAATGCCAACAATATTTTTTTCCCTTCTAAATAAGTTGAATTTGAACCATTCAGCCCTTGAAAGAAATCTTTTGAATCTCCATTGTGAATTAATTATCTGAGAAAACTATTTTCATTTGAAGTAAAACTAATTCCATATATAATTTTTTTCAGTTTTTCCTGATCCATTTGAAATTAAAGTTACTAATAATCAAGACTGACAGATCATCTTGCTATCAGCTGAGTAATTCTTTTAAATGTATTTCTTCCTTCTGTAATTAATAAATTTGCCAAATTCTTGCAGTACTGATATGATTTTATGTGCTGTATGTCATTTGTGTATTAGTCATTTTACATGTAAAATATATGATGTTTTTTTTTATTAATTTTGCATAACATTATTGTTCATATATTTGTTGAGATTTGTTGTACAGATATTTAATATGCTTAATTTTTGCTCCTGTAACATATAGAGTGCCGCAATGAAAGTAAAATTTTAGACTATTTTGCTAGCAATATTTTTCTGGAAATTGATTGGAATTAATTCAAAAAATATATTCTTTTAATCTGTAAATGGCTAGTGACAATTTTGGGTAAATTTAAATTTAAATTTTTTAAATTTTTTTTTAAATGTGGGCCCATGTTTTATGCCATCTAGAATATGTAACAGTATATATATTTGGTCTTGATTTCATTTTAGCATAAATAATATGCATAAATACCATATACATTAAATTTGTTGTTATTTTTTATTATGGATTTTTCCCCTTATTGTTATCATTAAATAGATTGCATTCAATTTCATTCAAATGTAACAATATTTGAATTAGGAATTTAGTTCCTACCCCCAAAGATAAAACTGAAAATATTAAGCCAATTCGATTTGGAAACTAAGTATTGCAATGCATCAGCCAGGATCTGAATTTGCAGGCCACATTTGCTGTAATATAAGCCATACCTGAATTATATGGTTTTAGAAAAATTAATGAAGACTAAGCATAAGGAAAAGAAAATTCCCTGAAGAAAATTTTGCCAATTAGGTCTTAAAAAAAAAGATTAGGTTCTTGCATGTTATCAGCTTATAATGAACCTTTACACTCTGCAAGTTCTCTAGGTTTTTTTTTTTTTTTTTTTCCCCTGAGTGATTTTTATCATGGATTTTCTATTTTTTTTCGGTACATGTGTTAATAAATCCCATCGACCAGGAAAGTTCATGCATATTCTACAAAATTGTTTTATATTGTTCTGCATTGGATATTTAATCGGAACTAAAACAAAAAATTAATTAAAAAAATTGTTGAATTTAATGTTTTAGAACATATGATTAAAAAATTTGTGGCACAGTTTATTTTTACAAAAAAAAAAAAAAAAAAAAAGAGTTAAACATAAACGTACTTGAAATTTATTATTTTAACAGCAACAATAACAACGAAATGTATTTAAATGAAAATCCTAAAAAGAATAACATTATACTTGTGGCCAAAACTCCATAGTGGCATTCAAAATCATTACAAGGAATTCGTCTTCGGGAAGATGATGCCACACACATTCCCATAAATACAAGGGCTGTTGTGCAGTTCCACGATGCTTTTTGTTTCACCATTTTACAGAGTCACAATGTTCTGTGTGTGTGTGTACACTAGTATACAAGTCAACAAAATTATAACTGTGAATCATTGTGAAATGTTCAAAATTTGCAGCTCTTAATTCATCAATCTTGTATGCCTTTCATGATTCAGAAAAAATAAGAGATCCTTCTTCAATATTTTCCTTAATTGCCTGTAAGAGGGTGGCCGCCATTCTATCGGGAACTCTTAAAATAAAATGCTCATTATTCTCTTGACAAATTCATCCAAACATCCATTGCTGAGGGAGTATTCTACCTACTTTGTTTTTGCATTTTGTGAAAAGGCTTTCATCAATTTCTATTGTGTGGTTAGGTCCTCGGATTTTTTTTCTTTGATCTTGACAAAAGGCTGTGTGCACAAACTTCTCTTACAGAATTGTTCGAATGTATCACTGTCTTGTTACTAAGCGTTCTTTTCCCCATTCAATAGTTGTTAACTCTTTGCACCAACAGTAAATAAATCTGATTGCAGTCAAAGAAACAATATTGGAACCCTCCAACCAAATTCCTTTTCAAATGGATGTTTGCTTATCGCAGTTTTGAATGTTACAGCACCATTGTTTATTTGACTTCAAGTAGTTTCATGTCATGCTCTTTGATGCATTTTTTTTTTTCCAATGCTAGAATCCCATAACTTTGAAAATATTCAATTGCATTCTGTTCTGTAGTAGGTAGATCCCAAATTTTTATCATTTTATGGTGTAAAAGCAGAGAAATAGCTGTTAGAACTGAACTCTTGTTTAAAGAAACACAAATAGTTTATCAAAGTAACAACTATGAATTTGGTACATAATTTTTCACTGTTAACGAAAAATCATGTTGTTTGGCACCATTTTTTGGTTTTGTCGAAAATGGTTGATAATTTTCCATTGTTGGCAAAAAATCATGTTGTTTGCTGCTGTTTTTTAGTTTCCATGAACATGGTCGTTGGGATTTTACTCATGTACTTTTTATTCACATTATCTGATATTAATCGAGTATATAGAGATTTGTAAAGCATATTTTAGACCTAATTAACATTTAATAAATATTAATATTTAATTCTGGTTTAAATGTTGTACACTATTAAATTTATTCACATGATTATACTACTTTAACGACAAATTTTATTTTTATCATGTTTAGAAGTGCTTAGATAAATAAAAGTGTTTAGGTTTTTATTGCATTTTCGTTGGTGCAAAATTTTAAGAAAATTATTAAATCAGTTCAAATTAGCTGAATATATAAAACAAAAAATTTTAATTTATAATAATGAATTAAATAATAAGTAAATCTATTTATCTCAGAATTATGTTAGAATAGCATATTAAGCTTAGTGATATATTATAAAGTGGCTTTAGGTCAAATTTCTCAATTTGTAGTTCTTGAGAAGTCATTTTTTTGTGCTCTGTAAGAACTTCTCAGTTTTTCATATTTCATTTTGTATTAAGCAAACTGTTTTTTAAAAATTTTGTAGCATAACATTTGGGCCTCACGGCACTCTACTTGTTAAGCTGTTTGTTTTTATTAAAAATCTATAGCTTTTTTACTGTTACGTGAGCAAAGTTCACAAATTTAGGGTTTTTTTTTTTAAATTCTGTAATTACAGCCATTTTTTTAATGTTTAAATTTTTAGGAGCTTTTTTTTTTTTTTTTTTTTTTTACATTTTCTCTTTTTGTATTGAGTGAGATTTTTTTGATTTGTTGATTTAAGATGTGTTTCGTACTCTAAGGAGGTTGTGATGGTTTTGATAAATTTTTTAAAATTTAAGAGGGGGGAAATGTTTTCTCATTGTAAGTGTTTTCATTCTGTTCTATTTTTTACCCTAGAATCAAAGTGGTTGATATTAATTTGTTATTCCATAAGAATCTTTAAATTGTTAAATTTTTGCAGATTGTTTTTAAATTACAAGAAATTTGCTTCTTATTCTTTGAAATATAGGTATACTTTATACACTTATGTAATCAATCAAAGAAATTTAATTAATAAAATTAATTAATTAATTAGATTAAATTAAGATAACTTTATCTCATTAGTATATTATACTATTCTCATAATGAAAGGCAGGTGAAAGATTGGAAGATAAAATGTTAAAAATTAAATTTGTAATGGTATCAAGCATCACTAAGGATTCACTTTGATGTAAAAGGAGGGGGGAAAAAACAAAAGAAAGAAACAGCTTAAATTTTAACTAGTATTATATAGTATTTATTCTAGTTTTTATTTATGAGGAGGAAATACTATTTGAGCCTCAATATCTTATTTTCAATAAAAGTATTGGATATAGTTCCATTAAAACTGTACCATGAATTTTTGGTGCCATATTGACACGTTTTGGCTTATTTCTTTTCAAATTTTCCTGTTTTATTTTTGACATTCTTCTCTTCTCTTTACTAAAATTTCTGTTGGTAATTTTTTCTCCTTGATTTCTGTTGTTTTCATTGCCAAAACCCTTTTAAAAAAGAAGGTAGATGAAATAAAAGAAAAAAAAAAAAAAAAAAAAAAAAAACAAAAAAAAAAAAAAACAAAAAAAAAAAAAAAAAAAAAAAAAAAAAAAAAAAGATAGTTGTAGTTATTACTTTGTAAATGATTGAATGAAATAAAAAAAATAGCAAGAATCATATAATACTAATCAGCAAAAATAAAATTAAAATTGGCATTTAGCTTAGGAGAAAATAATTTTTTTTTTTTTTTTTTTTTTTTTTTTTTTTTTTTAGAATGCAAATGTCACATGAATTTAGTCTAATAAGAGTCTAAATGCTAAAAAACAGTGCATCTTTGGCCTTTATTGCACCATTTTGCTTTATCCCCTCTCAAGCGCTCAACAAATTACAGTCAAAAGTCGTTAATTCGGACACCCATAATCCGGACCTCAAAGCTACAAACTTTATGCGCATGCATCGCGTTGACACATGCGCATACGACCTTTACGGCTGCAAATATGCGTGTGCGCCTGCCCAAAATACATTTACGCATGCACGTTTAATGTATAGTGGACAGTATAAGCTAAGCTAAAATTATCTAATTCAGTTAATGTTGCAGATTGCGTTGTTCCTTAATTTTTGAATTGGATCTGTCTTATTATTTTTTGCAGACTGTTAGACAAATTTTATAAAAGTAAGCTTGAACTTTCGATTATGTCAAATAGAATTTTCGATATATATTTACTAATATGTTAAGGATCTACAAAGCGAAAGTATGTTTCGAAGTCCATTAAACAAAAAATAGATAAAGGCATATCCTTTGTTTATCTAACCATTCCGAAATCTGTTTATCAGTTTCACCGCGGCTCGCAATGAATTGGAAGTTGATCTGTCAGCACTATCCTTATCTTCAGGGCAGATGTTTTTATTTTATTTGTCTTATAATTCCATACTAAACATAGTATTTCATCTCGATGTACTCCATCTTTGATATGATTTAAATCAAATTCCTCGTCATTATAATTCACTCCTGATAGCGAAGAAAGTAAAGTAAACAAATAAATATTAAGCCTTTTTTTTTTTTTTTTTTTTTGTAAATTTTGATACCCTTTAGATCATGTTTGTTCTTTATTTCATAAATTACCATTCCATATTTTTAATTTTATAATTTCTGCATGCCATCTTACCAGATTTAAACTGATAATCTATAATCCAGAATCGCCGAAGTCCCGACGAGTCCAGATTAACGACTTTTGACTGTATTGCACCATTTTGCTTTAA